TCCTGATCTCAGGTGATCTGCCTGCCTCAGCCTCCCAAAGTGCTGGGATTACAGGTGCGAGCCATGACGCCCTAGAGGGGACATTTTTTAACTTGTCGCTGCATCTCCTGACACATTCATACATTCTGCTCCAGCCACACTGGCCTCCTTTTTTTTTTTTTTTTTTGAGACCGGGTTTCACTCTTGTTACCCAGGCTGGAGTGCAATGGCGCGATCTCAGCTCACCGAAACCTCCGCCTCCTGGGTTCAGGCAATTCTCCTGCCTCAGCCTCCTGAGTAGCTGGGATTACAGGCACGCGCCACCATGCCCAGCTAATTTTTTGTATTTTTAGTAGAGACGGGGTTTCACCATGTTGACCAGGATGGTCTCGATCTCTTGATCTCGTGATCCCCCGCCTCGGCCTCCCAAAGTGCTGGGATTACAGGCTTGAGCCACCATGCCCGGCATGGCCTCCTTATTATTCTCAAACATGCCAGGGTCATTGCTGCTACAGGGCCTTTGCACTGGCTGTTCTCTCTGTCTGGATTACCCTTACTTCAGATATCCACATGAGTCACTCCTTCACCTCCTTCATGTTTTTATTCAGATGTTACTTTCTCATCGGGGTTCTCCCTGACATTTCCAGTTGTATCCCCCCACCCAATATTCCTATCCCTTTGCCATATTTTTCTCCTTGGCCCTTATCACTGTTTAAACTTTCTCCCCAATGAGAACACAAACTCAAAAGGGACAAGTGTTTGTGTTGTTTTCTGCATGGTTATATACCCAGTACTACACACAGTGTACATTCATTCACTATTTGTTGATTGCATGAATGATGTACACTCAGAGCCCATCTGCAAAGAGGAGACACAGAGCAGAAGAGCAGTAAGCCTGAGGCAGACAAGTTAAGAAAGGCTCCCTGTCAAGAAGAATGGGAATAGTTGGCCAGAGAGGCCATCTAAGATAGGGCAATCAGGCTTGGAGGTTGGGGATAAGGTAAGAAAAAGGAGAGGGAGATGGGTTTGCTTGGGAGGACAGAGAGCCAAGGATGGAGAGCCCGTGGGATTAAGGGGCAGATGGTGAATTCTATGGCCAGGGGCTGGGTGTTGACACAAAGCAATGGCCTTAATAGAATGGTTTACACAGAGAGGGCAATGGTTGGTGGAAGAGGTTGCTGAGTGGAGAGAGGTGGGGTAACCTGGATTGAGAGAGGAGATGATTCTAGCTGGTATTTTTTTTTTTTTTTTTTTTTTGAGACGGAGTTTCGCTCTTGTTACCCAGGCTGGAGTGCAATGGCGTGATCTCGGCTCACCGCAACCTCCGCCTCCTGGGTTCAGGCAATTCTCCTGCCTCAGCCTCCTGAGTAGCTGGGATTACAGGCACGCGCCACTGTGCCCAGCTAATTTTTTGTACTTTTAGTAGAGATGGGGTTTCACCATGTTGACCAGGATGGTCTCGATCTCTTGACCTTGTGATCCCCCGCCTCGGCCTCCCAAAGTGCTGGGATTACAGGCTTGAGCCACCATGCCCGGCCAGCTGGTATGATTTTTACTCCTTTGCTTTATTTTTTATTTTTGAGAGAGTCTCACTCTGTCACCCAGGCTGGAATGCATGGCGTGCTCTTGGCTCACTGCAACCTCCACCTTCTGAGTTCAAGCAGTTCTTGTGCCTCAGCTACCTGAATAGCTGGGATTACAGGCACCCAGCTAATTTTTGTTTTTTTGGTAGAGACAGGGTTTCACCATGTTGGCCAGGCTGGTCTCGAATTCTTGACCTCAAGTCCACCCCAGTCTCCCAAAGTGTTGGGATTACAGTCGTGAGCCACCGCGCCCAGCCTCACATCCTTTTAAAGTCCTATGCTAGCCTACGTTTCTCTTTCCACCCTCTCGCATATCCCAGAAGAAAGAAGGTACTTGGCAAGTTTGCAAGAGCTGTTAGTAGTACCAGTGGCAGCCTGTTGTGGCTTTTTTTCCTGTTACCACCCACCTGTGAGTACAGTATCTTCCCTGAGGTGAGGAAATGGGCAGAATGGTCCCTTTAGCTTTTATCAGCCCTCCTCTATAGCCTCTGCCACCTTCCAGGGACAACAGGCTTGCATTGGGGTACGGGGCTCAGCTTTGATTAGCAGAGGTAGTTGGTCATCTTTAGAGTTGGTCACGGAACCTTGAGGGGAGGCTCCTTTGTGTGCCTGCTGGGTGGAGGTGGCTGGGAGAGATGGGCTTCCTCCTCACTTTTCATTGCATGCACCAGCCTTATCTGAGGCTTTGTCTAGTAGCACCCTTGGTTTAGAGAGACATGGGTATTTGAAAGTAGTTTTCCGTATACTGATAGAGCCAGCTTCATCTTAAGGGCTTTAGAGTTTGTGCTGAAGATAAAGGCCTGAAGGATGTGCTGTCCACCCTTTTCCTAAAGAAGGGAACTGGGGGGAAATGGATCTCTGGATGCTTTATTTAGCATTTGTAGATTCCTCTGTTACCTACTTACTTGTGATGCTCATCAGAACAACAAAGTTAGGGCAGTTGTCTTTCCCTGGTTATGTCACACGGCCCAGTAAAGGTGCTGATCTGTGAGCAGCTGGGAGAAGGAAGAGCCAGGGAACCCCAATCCCCAGTGGCCTCTCTCCACTGCAGCTGTCACACGCGGCCGTCTGCTCTCACAAGCTTGCTCAGACTCCCCCGTCAAGCTCCTCTTAGCAGCTGTTGGGTGGTGAGTAGTTGGGTTTCTTTTCCCCTAACCTCCCCCTTTTCTGTTTGCAACAACCTCTCAGGGGAGGTCAGCAGATCTCTTGGAGGAGATGGTTCCCAGGCCCTCATGTTTTTGGCAGCTTGTGCTTGTGCACAGAAGTTAGAGAGGAACTGGTTCCACTGGAGCATTCCCCCTTGAGCCCCTCCCTTGGAATGGAAGTAGGGATACTAGTTGTGGGGAGGGATCTGGGCCTCTTTGGCTTCATGCTTAGAGCCAACAGCTTCCTCCCTTGGGTGGGGGCTCAGGAAGTAGTCCTGCAGCTCTCCCTGCCTCCATCTTGGACACTGTCTTCCGTGCAGCAGGGGAGAGGAGATGCGGACTAAGAGCCCTGTTTTTTGAGGGGCTGGGCAGACCCAGGAGGAAAAGGAGTGATAAGGCTAAGAGGGATCAGGAATCAGGGCTAGATTCAGAACTGTGGCTCTCTCCTTTCTGAAACTGTCTCCTTCCTGCTTATTTGGTGGTGTGGTGGTCGGGAAGCAGCACTTATTCCACATGCGGAGCAAAATGAGGCACTGCACCCTATAGGAGCCCCCTGCTTTGGTCAGGGGACCTGTGTTGACCTTTTTCCTGTTTTGCCAATTAATAATCCCTTCATGCACTTCTGTATATTAACTTGTTTTTATTAGGCTCCCAGGAGCCTGGGCCTGTGCTAGAAATGTAGATGGCAAAAGAATAAAGAATGCCAGTGATTCTCTGAGCCCATATTCTCTTGGAGCTGGTTGGGATAGGAGTGGCAATGCTTATCCTCACCATTGAGGATCAGCTGGAATAACTGGGATATCATACATGTATAGCTCAGAAAAGAGTAGAGAGGAGATTGGCTCTATTAGTTTATCAGGGAAGGTTTGCTGGAGGATGTGAACTGGGGAGGAGGCAGTGCAGGTGGAGAAGCCTAAATGAAGAAAACTGAGTGTTCAGAAGTTGATGAGCAGAGGAGAGAAGGGCTCAGAGGGCCATTACCTCTACCCAGGAAACAGTGTGCCTGCTCCCCAGTGCCTGCCGAAGCTGCTCTGTCTCACTGTGTTTCTCTCCCTGCAGACGCCCCTATCATGGCAAGAGCTAGAAGGTGAGCGGGCCAGCTCTTGTGCACACAAGCGCTCAGCATCCTGGGGCAGCACAGACCACCGAAAAGAGGTAGCTACCCACTGTGACTCCCTGCTTAGGGCAGCGGCTTCTTCCTGATCTCCTAGCACCATGCAATGTGTCTGCTCCACAATGGAGTCATACTGCTCACCTCTCCTGTCTTGACCTGGCTTTTTCCTGATGAGATGGCTCCTTTCTAGCTGACTTCCAGCCTCCAGGTGGCCAGGTCTTAGGACCCCAGACCCTCCTGCTAGGAAGGGGTTTGGCCAGAGGCTGCTAGTGTCTTTCAGCAGCAAGCACAGGGCTGGAGCCACCGTTGTTCTCATTTTACTTTGGGGTTGGATCCAGATAAGCAGCTTAGAGTAGAGGAAGACAGTGAGGGAGTTCCTGGGAATTAGGAGCATCCAACCTCCTTTACTTCTTAAGCATTCATCTAGCTTTTTTTTTTTTTTGAGATGGAATCTCACTCTGTTGGCCAGGCTGGAGTCCAGTGGCACAATCTCAGCTCATTGCAACCTCCGCCTCCCGGGTTGAAGTGATTCTTCTGCCTTAGACTTTCAAGTAGCTGAGATTACAGACACATGCCACCACGCCCAGCTAATTTTTGTATTTTTTAAGTAGAGACAGAGTTTCACCATGTTGGTCAGGCTGGTCTTGAACTCCTGACCTCAAGTGATCCACCCACCTCGGCCTTCCTAAGTGCTGGGATTACAGGCATGAGCCACCACGCCCGGCCCTAGCCTTATTTTTAAAAGAAGGAAAAAATAATGAGATGTTCCCAAACACTTTTTCCTGGCCCTTCCTCTCCATCAGGAGTGCTCAAGTCACTGAGATTAAGGGGAGAAAGCTGGAATATTCCAGGGCACCCCATCAGCTCCTCCTGACATGCTGTGTGGCCGCTCCTGAGAGGGGCAAGGACTCCTGAGTGGTTGCTAGGACTCACTCTCTACCCCTTTACAAGAGGAAGTTGCTTCTGCCCTCTGTTGCTGAGAACAATGAGAAAATATGAAGTGAATACACTGAGAGCTTAAGAAAAGGGGGAAATAAAATATTTAAACTTTCAATTGTCAGAGTAAGCAAGTTATTCATGCTAAGGATGGGGAGACGTGGTCTGAGTGACCCACAATAGCAATTGGAGAGCACTTTCTTCTTGGCTCTAGTCATAAATTTTATGGCTGTGGGCAGCAGATCGACTCTGAATTCCATTTAATTTAGGCTCATATTTAAATAGCTCTTCATCCCCTGAGCATTTTCCAGCCAAGGGCAAGAAGATCCAGAAATGCACATGTGATGGGATAACAATATTCAGAATTGTTGATGATAATCTATAATAGTCTCAGGATATAAAAGTTAAGATGAAATCTAATATTCCCTTCTTGGGCGTCTATCCCTGTTCCCAGTGTAGTCTGCTTTGAATGGGAGAATATTCCCATCCTTCCTGGTCCCAGGGCCTTTGAGATAGTTGTGAATACACTGTGAGGAGTGAACTGCCCTTGGCATTCAGAAACATCATCTTCCATTGCTGTTAATAGAGGGGTGGTCCATGCCTTTGGAATCTGTAAAAGAGAAAATGGTTTCCATGTTGTGTGTTTTGAATGTTTTGGAATCCAGTCCGTCTAGTTAAGTGAGGTGTCCAACTCGTCTGAGGAACAGATCATCACAGTTTTCATACCACTGAGCTATTTTGAGATGGAAGATTAACTTCCATCCTCCTTGTGTATATCTTCATGGGCCTTTGACAGGAGCCCCTCCTTGGAAGACCCAGTGCACTTTGGCTTTCCTTAATCCGCCTCTCCCTTCCTCTCTCCGGGCTGCTAGATTACCAAGCTGAAGCAACAACTGCAGAGGACAAAGCTGAGCCGTGGTGGGAAAGAGAAGGAGCGAGGGTCCCCACTCCCAGGGGACCACGCCGTGCGGGGAGCACTGAGGGTATGTTTCCTCCCCCAGCCCTCTCCCCTTTGTTCTCCTCCATGCAGGCCCCCATGTGTGGGCAGAGGTTTCCTGGGTCTTGCAGCTACCAGCCCCCTACCACATTGCATGCTTTGTGAAGTTTTAGTCCAAATGTGGCCTTGCTGTGTTATTGGAAGGGCTTCTTGCAGTTCTGAATCTCCCTTTCTTCTATCCCCATCCCCTTAAAATTGATGTAATGACTACAGCACACTGTAGACTTTGCAGAGCTCATACTTCAGGAGAAAACTGCGCTGAATGGACCTGCTGCAATCTGTAACTGTCCCCAAATCACCCTTCATTCACTCGATTCTGTTGTGTAGACATAACCACTACGCCTGGTCAGAACAAATGACTATTTAGGTTTGGTGGGGCCGTGTGTGATTTCATCATTTGCTTCCTCCTCAGGCATCCCCTCCCAGCTTCCCCTCAGGGTCCCCTGTCTTACGACTCAGCCCCTGCCTGCACAGGAGCCTGGAAGGGCTCAACCAAGAGCTGGAGGAGGTGTTTGTGAAGGAGCAGGGAGAAGAGGAGCTGCTGAGGGTGAGTAGCGGCCGCACCCTGAGTGCACCCACACTCGTGCCTCACTCAGGGAACTGGGAGTTCTGCTCTCTGGGGCCTCACAGGCTATGGCCACACAAATAGCAGCATGCAAACACCAGCCTGCAAAAGGAATGCAAATGGAGTTTATTAGTCTCGAATGGCCTTACCCGTGTCACTAGGGCAGGCTTTGTGGTGGTGAGTAGAAAGAGAAGGGCAAGGATTGGCAGAGAGGAGGCTCCCCAGTTGGGAGGAACAGGCAGGGGTCATCTTCAGCCACACTGCCTGTTCTCACTGTTCCCCGTGTGCTCAGCACCGGCATGGGCGCCTCAGTTCCTGCTGCTCCCTGCCCCTTCTCCATCTCTACCGGGTGACATGTATGCCTCCTTCATGCCCAGCTGCTCCTACATAGCCTTCTCCCGGACTCCACTCCCAGGCAGAATGTGTGCTACCTTTGCTGAAGCCTCAGGCACATTTTTATACTGACACAGTGCAATTGGGGAATGCTAGTTGGCCAGTATTAATATAATTCTAATAGGTACACTTCTCAGTTTGTGATTTACCTACGAGTTGATTTTTAATTTGCATATATGCAGGATTTTACACATACCCAAACACATGCACACAATTTGGTGACCTGCAGGTTCAAGCACCATTGAGTGTTTTTAAAAGGGGGGTGAGGAGGTATGTAATACATGCTGATCATCAGCATATGTGTTCTGCAATGGTTACAGCACTTAGAGACTCCTGGTGGTTTGCTGCTATTGTGCCCTCCAGCATACATTATCATCTTTGTTCCTAGACCCCAGGGCACAGAAGGTCCCTGCCCTCATAAGGCTTATAGTCTCGTGGGGGTAACACATTGATCAAGCCCTAGAGAATATATGTAATGATACATTGGACTGCAGGTGCTATTAGGGATAAGAGCAAAGCGCTATGGGAAAAACAGGAGGGAGTTTCTTCTAGACTGAGGGGGGGGCCAGGAAAATAAATCGCTGGAAGAAACGGTGTTCTGTGCTTGTATGTTATGGGCAGAGGATGCCAGCAGCAAGAGGAGTACCCTCGGGGTCACTGTGCTGCTGCAGGCCTGAAATACCCAGGGTTGAGAGTCTTTACTGTCTTTCCCTGTCAGATCCTTGAGATTCCTGATGGGCACCGGGCTCCAGCTCCTCCCCAGAGTGGCAGCTGTGATCATCCCCTCCTCCTTCTGGAGCCTGGCAACCTTGCCAGCTCTCCTTCCATGTCCTTGGCATCCCCCCAGCCTTGTGGCCCAGCCAGTCATGAGGAACACCAGGGTGCCGCTGAGGAGCTGGCATCCACCCCCAATGACAAAGGTAAGCTGTGGAGGCTGAGGCAGCAGTGCTGACTCTGGGGTGTACGAGTGGCTCCACTTTTCACCTCTAGTCAATTCAGGCCCAGCGTTCTCAGTACCCTACTAGAATATCTTTATGAGTTGTCTTCTGCACATTATACCAATGATAATAATGGTCCCATACATCCCGTTCTGACTGATAATTTATAAAGTCTCTGCACTTAAACTTCTATTTAACCCTCACTGGGATCCAAAGAAGCAATCCCATGCCAAGCTCTAGGGGAAAGCAATGAGTCTTCGTTCAGGTGTCCACTGTACTCATTCTCAGCAATGGTTTCAAAGTGGTTGTGAGTGATACAAAGTAAGAGAATGTGGTCAGTTGCTTAGGGTTGCATAGTTTGACCCAGCCCAAAACCCAAATTTTTTTTTACTCCAAATCTCTACTTTCCACAGTGTCCTAGCTACTTCGCTGAGAGAATGAAATACAATTCCTACCTCCTAGTGATGATCCTTACATTGTACAGCCCTGTGCCTATGTTGTCTGATTTGATTGTCAGAGCAACCCCATGAGGTAGGCTGGTCAAGGGCATGATCTAACAGAACACATGGGTAAATAGAGCATAGAGTAAGGAGGAATAAATCTGAGATAAATACAGATAAAGTCAATATTTGCAACCTAGGCAAAGTACATTTGCTGTGTGGAAAGGGAGAGAAATTTTATCCTTCAAGTGGGGTTGAGTAAAGATTGCTTCTCTGAGTTAGAGAAGAGCTCTTCTTGGAAGAAAGGATAAATTTTCAAGACTGTGGACAGGAAGAAGCTGTGGTATGTTGGCAGGGAGGGTGGTGCAGTCTTGGAAGAAGGCAGAGAGAGACGCAGATAGAATTCCTTCAGGACTGAGATCTGGAGTTCCGGTCCCAGTCTACCTCCTGGGAACATAGAATTGGTATGAGATCTTAACTTTCCATCCATTCAACTCCGTTTTTCTGTTCTGTTATACACTGTGTATTTGTGTAAGCTACCTCAGAGGTTTTTAAGGTAGAGTATAATCACACTAGATAAGCACACCCGCTACCCTCTTCCTTACCATGCATCCCCAGCCTTGCCACTTTACACCCAAGTCCTGGACCCAGAAAAGTGGAGGCCTTCCCTTCATCTCCACTGGACTCAGCCTTGCTCTGTTCACAGCCTCCTCTCCAGGCCACCCAGCCTTCCTTGAAGATGGCAGCCCATCTCCAGTCCTTGCCTTTGCTGCTTCCCCTCGGCCTAATCATAGTTATGTCTTCAAACGGGAACCCCCAGAAGGCTGTGAGAGAGTGCGTGTGTTTGAAGAAGCCGCGTGAGTACACCCAGCGGACAGGGTGTGAGGGGAGGGCAGGACGACGGTGGAGGGTGGGCCTACATTCTCCTACCTGCAAGCCTTTCTTCAGTCTCGGACTCTTTGTCACAGAGTTGTTGTCAGCGTTAGATGATCAGTATTGCCAGCTTTCCATGATCAAAAGTGTTGACATTACCTACTCTGAGCACTTAAATCTTTGCTTATCATTATCTCCATAGAAACTGCTCTCTGCCCACATGCCAGCCACAAGCGCAGCAGTAGCTGAAAAGAAAATGTATCTGAAACCTAAGCCCTTTGTTTCTTCTATTTTTTTCCATCTCCGGGGAAGGTGTGAGAATTTGGAGACCATAATCAGAAAGAGAGAGAGATCGGGGGTGTGGAGAGAACATACTAGTGTTTCTTTTCAGTCAGAGATTAGAAGTGTTTCAGCCAGCCCCACTGGAGTAGAATGGAGGGGCCTAGACAGCTTCACAGTTTAAGCTTCGGAGTCAAGTCTTCACCCTGTGGCTGTAATGATTCAAGTGTCATGAACTCCCAGACAGAAATTTCCAGTTCTTGCAAGTAAGGACGAGGGAAAATTCCCAAACCAGATTGGATCATTCAGAAGCCATTCTTCTGTTGATTTCTTTACACTTCCCTCCCATTAGCAGAAAGAATTGAGAGCCAACCTTTTCAAATGCCCCTGTCCCCATTAGCAGACATCAAAAAGCTCACTTGGTTTCCTGCTTCCAGCTTAATATTCACCAGGGCAGATTCACACTGGAAGTTAGGGTTGCAGTGGCAGTCAGGAAGTTTAGTCATGGCGTGGGAGTCAAGACGTAGCTGGGACGGGGTTTAGGTCAATGAGAGCACCATTTGTATCTCAGATAAGGGAGAGACAACCCATGCTGGCAGCCAAAGGTACATACAGAAGCCACAGAAGGAGTTCCAGAGACAACCGTTGCCACTAGAGGTTTTGTTACTGTTATTATTGTTGCCTGGGATCCCTTCAAGACTCCTAGGGCCTCTGAGAAGCTGTGGAGGGAAGAGGCCAGCTCTCTTAGCTTAAGCAGACTCTAGGCTTTTGTACCCTCCCTCAATCTACATTTTAGTGGAGTAATTACAACCTGGAAATGCAGGTGGAAATTAAGCTATAGCGTCTCTTGATTTTTTTCATAGACTCAATGCTAGAAGAGGCCTTAAAGTCAGCACATCCAGCTTCCCGCCTCTGCATTAACCCTTTTTTTTAAGATAGAATCTCACTCTGTCACCCAGGTAGAAGTGCAGTGACCCAATCTTAGCTCACTGCAACCTCCACCTCCCAGGTTCAAGTGATTCTCCTGCTTCAGCCTCCTGAGTAGCTGGGATTACATGCACCCACTACCACGCCCAGCTAATTTTTGTATTTTTAGTAGAGATGGGGTCTCATCAAGTTGGCCAGGCTGGTCTCAAACTTCTGACCTCAGGTGATCAGCCCACCTCAGCCTCCCAAAATGCTGGGATTACAGGCATGAGCCACCGCACCCAGCTACTGCATTAACCCTTTAAGAGAGGTGGTGGGCCAGGCACAGCGGCTCATGTCTATAATCCCAGAACTTTGGGAAGTGGAGGTGGGTGTATCACCTGACATCAGAGGTACATGCACACACCTCTCTCTTCTCTCACTTGCCCATTCTCCACCCCAGCCCACTGTCTCTCTTAAAGGGATCCTCAAACCATCAGCTTCTTAGGGCTGTTTCACCCTTTAGGCTTGGAATCATGGTTATTCCTTACTCAGGAACTCTCTGACCTGACCTTTTATCCTTCCATCTTCCTAAACAATCAGAAGGGGACGGATGATTCTTCCCACATTGTAAAGGTGAGACAGGCCAGGTGCAGTGGCTCATACCTGTCGTGCTAGTGCTCTGGGAGGCCAAGACAGGAGGATCACTTGAGCCCAGGACTTCAAGACCAGCCTGGGCAACATAGTGAGGCCCCCATCTCTACCAAAAAAAAAAAAAAATAGCCTAGAATGTTGGCACGCATCTGTAATCCCAGCTACTTGGGAATGTGAGGCGGAGTATTACTTGAGCCTAAGAGTTTGAGGCTGCAGTGAGCTATGATCACACCACTATACTCCAGCCTGGGTGAGAGAGCAAGACCCTGTCTCTAAAGTAGTTTAAAAAATTAAAATTAAAAAAGAGGGCGAAACAGATATGGCAGGGACCACATGGTCAGTTAGAACCCAGATCTTCTGATAGGATCTAGCTGCCTTTTGACAGTTGTTGCCATCCTTTCCTCCCAAAGTTTGGAAAATCACACCTTTCTGGAGACCAGCCTGAGCAGCATACGGAGACTCCTTCTCTACAAAATAAAAATAAAGCAATTAGCTGAGCATGGTGGTGCATGCCTGTAGTCCCAGCTACTCAGGAGGCTGAGGCTGGAGGATTGCTTGAGCCTGGGAGGTCAAGGCTGCAATGACCCAGGATCCTGCCACACTGCACTCCAGCCTGGGCCACAGAAGGAGAGACTCTGTCTCAAAAACAAAACAACAAAAAATCCCATTCCTTTCAAATGTGCCCAATAATTAGATTCTTTAGGCCAGTAGATTTCAACTGGGGAAAATTTGGCAATATCAAGGGACATTTTTAGTTGTCACAGCTAGAGGAGAGGGGTCGTGGTACAACTGGTGTCAAGTGAGTAGAGGCCAGGGATGCTGTTAAGCATCTTACAATGCACAGGACAGCGCCTCCAACCCCACCCCGAAACAAAGAATTATCCAGCCCGAAACGTCAGTGGTGCTGAGACTGAGAAACCCTGCTTCCAGCTATAAAAAGTCTTAGAAAGGCCGGGTGCAGTGCCTCACGCCTGTAATCCCAGCACTTTGAGAGGCTGAGGCAGGGGATCATGAGGTTAAGAGATCGAGACAATCCCGGCCAACATGGTGAAACCCTGTCTTTACTAAAAACACAAAAATTAGTCAGGCATGGTGGCACCTGCCTATAGTCTCAGCTACTTTGGAGGCTGAGGCAGGAGAATCGCTCGAACCCAGGAGGCAGAGGTTGCAATGAGCTGAGATCCTGCCACTGAACTCCAGCCTGGCAACAGAGCGAGACTCAGTCTCAAAAAAAAAAGTCACTTGGCCTTGATCTCTGCTTTCAGGCTTGTGGTCTGTCCCTGAAACACCATTCACTGATGAAATCTTTTTGTGTGTGTGTGTGTACGTGTATGTCTGTGTGTCTCTCTTCATCCTCCAGGTCCCCAGGTCCTGACCTGGCCTTCCTGACTTCCTGTCCTGACAAGAACAAAGTCCATTTCAACCCGACTGGCTCGGCCTTCTGCCCGGTCAGTCTGATGAAGCCCCTCTTCCCCGGCATGGGCTTCATCTTCCGTAACTGCCCCTCAAACCCGGGGTCTCCCCTTCCCCCGGCCAGCCCCAGGCCACCACCTCGGAAGGATCCAGAGGCCTCCAAGACCTCCCCACTGCCCTTCGAGCCATGGCAGCGCACCCCACCATCAGAAGAGCCTGTGCTTTTCCAGAGCTCCTTGATGGTCTGAGGGTCCCACCCCTGCCCCACTTTACCATAGAGACCAGTGCCTTGGTGGCAGGTCCCTCCCCAGGTCCCCTGGATGGGGTATGGAGGAGCCCTTCCCTCTCGGCCTTCGAGCACTTTCACTTATTGTGTCAAAGCCCTGGGTCCTCGTTTTGATGGGCACCGGCCCCTCTGAATGTGAGGGGGTCTGCCTTCTCCACTAGCAGCTGGGCAGCTCACAACTCACACCTGTGTACCTGCCACATCCCTCACTTGGTGGAAAACACCCAGAAGGTCTTGAGTCCCCCAACCCTGGGTGTCAGTCCAAATGACTGTATAGGAGGCCCTTATTTTTGTCACAGAGCAAGCTGGCCATGAACGAAGGAGAGAGGATGCCACAGATTTCCTTCCCTCTCCACAGTCACACAAGAGGAGACCCGAAGGTAGATTCCCTGTCCTCTCAGCCCTATCCCCATGCCTCCCTCTCACTGGAGGGGCTGACCAAAGCAGGCCTAAAGGCCCTAACACTTGACCAGTTCAGCTGCTGGCACAGGGAGGAAACAAGCGTTTTCCCAAGTGGCATTTTCATCTCGCTTTCACCCTGACTAAAGATTGTCTTAAGTAGCAGCCCAGCCCGCCCAGCCCCAGGTGGGTAGTGGGGAGGAGAGCTGGCATTCCTCCAGGTGGCAAATGGCGACTCTATACTCTCCGCCCACCCCAGGGCTGGATTGGATTAGAAAAATGCCTATTTTTCTTGTATTGATGTAGAAACTCTATTTTCTCCCAAAGACACTATTTTTGCAGCTGTTTGAAGTTTGTATATTTTCCGTACTGCAGAGCTTACACAAAATTGAAGAATGTTAATGTTCAAGTTTTCTTATCTTGTGTTTAGAGGTTGTTTTTTTGCAGATCTTGGTATTATAGACCAAATAAATAAATAAATAAATATTCCCAGCAGCTTGAAGTTCTGTTAAATATTTGGGGAAGGAGGGATGGGGTGGAGATTGAGTATTGACAATTTCATCTTTGTCTTCAAGAGAAGGAGCATCAATTTCCACATCTGGGTGTTACGGCTGCACAGAGTTCCCTCTGGACACCATGCTTGCATACTTTACATGGACATATAAACAGACCCATGAAAAGACTGTCCAGAATGAAGAGTATAGTTTGTTCTAGAGGTGGGGTGAGGGAGTCATTGGGGAAGTTATCCATTCTAGTGTGAGTCCGAAAAACCTCCCTGAGGAGAATGGATTTCAAAGAGGAAAAGCAGGTGACCAAGGGAAGACAGTTTGACATTGTGGGTGTTCCTTGCACTGGTTGGATCTCTTGACAGTTTTGGGGAAGCTTTGGCTCATCTCAGGGAGTACCCACAACACAGTGTGCAGCCTTGAAGGGAACAAAGAAACTATACAAAAATACTATTCTTATCCTTTCGCAGCCTTTATAATGCTGCGCCTGTAAGAGCTCTTAGGCTTTGGTGGAAAATAGGAATAACCATCTCAATATTTTGATGGTACTTTGGAATTTCCAAAGCATTTTCGCAAAAGACACATCCCCATTATATGGGTGAAAGTTGACTACTCCAAGGGCAGTCAGTACAGTTGTATCTCCATAAGACCAGACAACAAACTTCTAAACCGGCTATCCCAACCACCTTTCATGGTGGAGGGGCTCATTAATTGGGCTCATAACGAGCTCACTAATTGAGCTGGTAAGAACCAACTACCATGTTAAGTGCTTTATATAAAATGTTATCAAGATATGACAACCACCCAGTAAGAGTAATATGGTAAGTCCCACTGGATAATCATGGAAGGACAAATAGATTGAATAACTTGACCCCAAAAGACACAGATAGGAAGTGGGGGAGCTGGGATTGGAAACGATCATTTGAATCCAGTGCCCATGTTCTAACCACAGCGCTCTCTTGCTTGTTATTGTATTCCCATTAATTTCACGTGAGGAAAGTTGACTCAGAGGACAAGGGAATTCTTTGAGGTCCCAGCTGGTAAAGAGGTAGAGCTGGTAGGTCTCTCCTCCCCGTTATTTGCATCGCTGGCTAAGCCAGTAGAGTAAGCTACTGAGCAAGAGAGCAAATATATGGGGATTCCCACGCCACTAATATCCAGGAGACAGTGGGCTGGGGACAGACCCCATCTTCTATCCCTTATCCCTCCCTCTAAAAGACTTCTGGCTCCCCCGCAAAGCCTTAGTGAGTCAGGCACAGAGTGATGGGTGTGGTGCTGCCCAGTATTTCCTTCCTTTGGCTGAGGCTGTGCCAACAGAGAAGGCTGCTAGAAGAGAAGGTCCAGAGTCCACCTGGTGGCCGGAGATTTGGGCCAATTACTAAGTAGGGGGTTGGAGGTAGCAGTGGGAAGATCTGAGGTCAGTCTTGCCCTGGCAATTCGTGCCAGCAGGTGGAGACCCAACACTTGCATGAGGAAGGGGTCCAACGAGGAGCTCATCACTGGGAAATATTCAGGAGTGTGGCTGAAGGGTTTACGCCATTGTTGGTGAGTTCTTAAGACTTGGAAGAAAACCGAATTCAATAGGCTTCCATTTCCACCCCTCGATGTGAGGAAATAAGATTAGGGATGAG